AAGCACACTAAACATATTGGCAGAGGTGGTAGAGGGAACAATGTAGGTTTGCTAACTGTATTGAGGCGTCTATAACCCACGGCAAACCGGTAAGAACTATCACGTTTTTAACCATGACAATGGAAGAGTGACATTCAGAAGAACTTGGCTGAATGATATTGGCTTCAAACATTTCTTGCACCTGTCTGGAGTTTTCTTAATGGGTGCGTTTTACTACAAAAAGGGCGTGTAATGGGTCTGGTGTCACCTGATTCTATTTTGTGATGATGTAAGTGAGTGTGTCCTAATTCTGACCAATGTGAGGCAAAAACTGATCTTTGTGATTGGAGAAATGCGATTTACTGTGTACTTGGACTTTCAAGATTTACAAAATGCTTTTGGGGATAAAAGCACCACGACCTTCAGGGGTATTGTTATGTGCATGGCTAGTTGAGGCGTCGGCGGAGTATCGCCTGTATCCCGTCCATCCAGTATGCCTATAACGGACCATCAGCCTGGTGACTGCCATTCGGCTACAGCCAAAACTCCTTGCAACGTGGTCATGCGTTGCTTCTAGATGTATCATACCAATGGCTTGTACTTTCAGTACCATTAATTTCAGCATGTTATTTGTCACTGTCAAATTTGTTTGTTTGTTGTTTAACGCCGCACTCAGCAAGATTCCATCTATATGACGGCTGTAAATAATCGAGTCTGGACCAGACAATCCAGTGATTGATATCATGAGCATCGATCCACGCTACTGGGATACGATGACATGCATCAACCAAGTCAGCGAGCCTGACCACCCAATCCCGTTAGTCGCCTTTTACAACAAACACAGTCGCCTTTCACGGCAAGCATGGGTTGCTGAAGACCTATTCTATCCCGGATCTTCACGGGTAGTGTCACCGTCAAACGATTCAGGTGTGAATGAACAGTACATCGTTTCTTATATATTCATATCTTTGTAGGCGGGCATGCTTGAAGTGCAGCCACTGATCTGGGTAATGTAGCACGTGCATTACTCAGCAAACTGTTGTGTTTGTGTTGGGACCATTGATTCTCTACCATTTTGTAACATTATTCGGGGTTTGGATCCTACTTTCACTGTGGTAAGGTTGTTTTTTTCGTCAGTTGACATCAAAAGTTATGCTACTTATGTCCATCCTTCACATCATCTTAGTAATCGAGGGGTGGTCGGGTAGCCTAGTGGTTAAAGCGTTCGCTCGTCACGCCGAAGACCCGGGTTCGATTCCCGACATGGGTACAATGTGTGAAGCCCATTGCTGGTGTCCCCCGCCGTGATATTGCTAGAATATTGCTAAAAGCGGCGTAAAACCGTACTCACTCACTCACTTAGTAATCGAAAAGTACAAACATGTCAAGTTTACTTGGCTTTGCTACACATGGTGTTGTAAAAAAAATTGTCTTCCATTTATTATTTTATAATATGCTTTATCATACTGCTATTTTCAATGTTCTGTTTCAAATTCACCGACATCTGTATAGTTATTTTGTTTTAGTGAACAGTGAGAAAATTTCAACATTCCTTCCATAGGTTGAATTAGCGGTTGAATTATGGTACCGACATGATATAAATACAGCTGATAGGTGAAGGAAACCAAACCATTTTGATTGCACAGCCGGGACCCCGTCGGTGCGAGTGACCGAGTGTTGGTCCGAGATTCAAAGCGCGGCGCTAATTGACTTTTTAAGTTTTCTTACATTTGTCTTGCGCACTAACAACTATGCGCTTGAATTACCATACGTTAAAGAAATTCAAAAAAGGGATCTTGAGAGTTGGTGCTGTCAAGTTTACACACACAACAGCAGAAAAACATTGTTAAAATGTATGCATAGAAATGTCAACAATGCCCATATTTGGACATACATGTATATTAATAGTCATGCCAACCAGATTTGCAACCGGTTTCAGTTCGGTATGTTTACGAACGAAAGTTGTTATGTATTTACACTTAAATACATATTTAACGTGGGTAATAAATATAATGCCACACTCATTCTCATTAGATACCATTTTTGGTAAAGTGGTATCTAACGATAATTCTGTATTACGGTACACGAACAGTCCTTCGCATCGAACAATTCAACTTTTGGATGGACCCGTTTAATTAAAACTGTATTCTTACCCGTAATGAGCCCATTTTTCAAGAGAAACAAATGAACCCAAACACATTGTGATTTATAGATGATCATATGTGCATTGCTGTCGGTTAATGCAACATTTGGCACAGGACAACTTTCCGATACCTAATACCGTATTTCCTATATAAGACGTCGGGCCTTTAATAGACGCCGGCCTCTAATAGAAGCCGGGTCAATTGTTCAGTGCAAAAAATAGAAGCCGGGCCTCTAATAGACGCCGGGTCGATCAATTGATACAATTAATGATCCCTTTTTGGGACCTAAATTACATAATTTCGTGACGATTCGGGACATTCGTGGTCATAGTGAAATGGGGGTATTAATAGATGCCGGGCCTCTAATTGACGCCGGGTCAAAGGCTTGTCCGAAATAAATAGAATCCCGGGCGTCTAATAGAGGAAATGCGGTAATATATATGTAGCAGCCGGCAAGGCTCCGGTTAGGGCAGCAAAACACAAAACAGGCTTCTGACGTGTGAGTTGACAGCTGGAGCAAATATGCTTAAAAATATAATGTAGATATCTAATAAAACAAACATATCACATAGTATCAACACACCAATGCATAAACTAGATTTAGATTCACGGCTTTGTCCACTTTAATATGCTATGCATACTATAAATATTATTTTTACTTGATATTATACACTAATGTATCAAAAATGCACAGCAGTAGGCTAGTTACAGTTACAATTATGGTTTTAAGCCAAATTACAACGTAAAATACTTAAGACGGTTACGTAAGTACCGCCTCTACAAATTGCCATGATATAAACACAATATACACAAAATATACACGTAACTTACCACTGTGTGACAATGAGCTGGGCATCGTAACATCGATTGCCATATTCTTGAAAATTGAAACAATAAGGCCGCATAACAAACAGCCCGTGAAGATCCGGGGTAGAATAGTTCTTCAGCAACCCATGCTTGCCGTAAAAGGCGACTATGCTTGTCGTAAGAGGCGACTAACGGGATCGGGTGGTCAGGCTCGCTGACTTGGTTGATGCATGTCATCGATCCCAATTGCGTGGATCGATGCTCATGTTGTCAATCACTGGATTGTCTGGTCCAGATTCGATTATTTACAGACCGCCGTCATATAACTGGAATATTGCTGAGTGCGGCGTCAAACAACAAACAAACAAAACAAACAAACAAAACAGCATAACAAACAGGAAATGGCAAATAAAATTAAGAACATGTAAAATTACCTTTTCATACGTATCCATTCAATCATAATCTACATACATACATACTGCATTCACACATGTAGTTAGACGGTATTTAAGAATTTGATTATAGATTCAGTTTAGATTTAACTAAAATGTTTAACGAATTAAGAGGGAAGGTATGCGCACAGTTGGTAGAATATCTGAAGATATCAAAATAACATGTATACTAATTATGAAATACTAGTTTATATTTTAAACTATAATGCATCTAATTCATAAAACTAAATACACAGACATATTTACAAGATACATAAATATGAATCAAACACAAACTAACCTTATAGAGATCCTGAGAACGAAAAATAAACCATCCGTTGATTCCATTACAAGGATAAGGACCACAGATTCTTTCAAATGTATGTGAACAACTGATTTAGCGAACTCAGCTAAAACAGAAGAAAAGTTTACTTACATAATACAGAAGCTAGAAAAGGAAGAAAAAGCAAGACGCTTGTGCTGTTTGTGACTGTGCAGATGAGGTGAGGTGAAATGGGGTTTAACGTCGCGTCCAAGATTATTGCACTTCTATAGCGACGTGCATGCACGAGTATGTGTGTGTGGCTGCTTGTACTAGTCCGGATTGATGCCGATTTATAGTGCTAGCTCACTGAGATACCATGCCGCAGTTTAACATGAATACCCCACTCAGACAAAGTATACTGACTCCGAGCCGACCAGTCCTTGTTTTAGCCCCTTAATGCCGAGCGCCAGACAGGGTAACAACAAGTACCATCTTTTAACGTCTTTTTGTATGACGCGGCCGGGGATCGAACCCCGGACCTTCCGCTCTCCGGGCGGACGCTCTACCATTAAACCACGGAGGCGGTCCTGTACAGATGAAAGTGGCTATTGTTATGTTAGTAGTTCTATAAGTGATGCAGCTAAGCTTATTGTTTGTTTTTTATACTGCTCAAGTAATCTAGCTTGAGACAAAAACTAACCAAAACAGAAAAAGACAATTAAAGGACTTACAAAATAACAATAAAATCAACTCGGACACATATCGCTCTCTGTACTCTGGGTAGTGGTGACGACGGCACAGTGTGGCAAGTCATATGATTCAGTTATACATGTTGCTGTTTATAAATTGTCTTCACATGTCGGGACAAATTATCAAGCTGAAGTATGTGAAGAAAGCATAATTAAACTAAAACAACAGAAAACTCAACATTACCTCCATGTCACTTTAGATCCACTGAAATCTAGGGTAAATAATTTGATGTGAATGAATTGAATACAGTGAGCTGTTGCCAAGGCTGACTACAATGTTGTGATTTTTCGAAAGCAAAAGAAACATTCATATCTAATCACGTGAACAACTGTAAAACAATTCATTAACTTATTAAAAACAACTTTCTCTTAAAAACAAGCCATCATCTGAGTATTTACAATGTCTATGTGATGCTACACCCCCGTTATAGCGCGAGTAATCGCGATAAATATGGCCATCCGAAAACGCGTGATAATATGAACCACGAGAATGCAATTTCGTACTTACTTACTTATATTGGAGATTGTACGTGCGCTTTTCGGCTGTGCGCGTATGTCGCACACGGATGCAATTTCGTTTCTCAGTTCGTCTTTTAGCTTATACACACCGGAAGCACGTGCCGGTGAAATGAAAACAACGTTTTGACAACATAGCACTGCTCGGTCACCGGTGCGTGTAAGGCGGGATTACGGCGAACTAATTATGTGTCTGCTAATGACAGTTGGATGTGCGTATAGACTGTTGTGGCTGTGATTGAAGAAAGCGACATGACGACCAGATTTACGCCCAAATTCTGGAAACCAGGTGAAGAACCAGCATAGCACGTGAAACCTCGGCCATGGTGGTTTAAATTAAGCCATAGTGGTTGCTTCAGATTTGTCACTTGGTGGGTGTCGGTGGATTAAGTATGATCTCAGAACTTTGTCAGAGTAATTGTAGATGATCCCAGAGTGTTCTGGTAATGATCATGTGAGGTGAGGTGAAATTGGATTAAACGTTGCTTCCAAGAGTATTGCACTTATAAATAGCGACGTGCAATACACGTGAATGTTCACGTTAGCTTGTTACGTAAGAAATGTAAGTTTTTGATGGTATATTGACTTTGAAAATCACACAATGACACAAACATTAATGTTAGAATACATACACAAATTTCCAATGAATAAAAAATATAGACTCTATGTTTACATTACTAAAAAGCATACTGGGTTAAAATAAGTAACAAGTGGAGCTGTAGGCCTATCCATTGAATTAGTATAAGATTTCAGTGGAACTTTATTTTATTCCACTGAAATTATTCAAACCCCACGTCACAACTGATATATCGCTGTGTAATGCAGTGTCAACAAACAACCAAAACATCCTGTTTACAATTAGTGAGCCACAACCTATATTTACATTTTATCATGATTATGTACATCATGCATACATTTATTATTTCCCTTGATCACTTGTTCATGCTATCAACCAGGGGATGCCAGCCTAGACTAGACTACCGTATTCCGGTATATACCGATTTGTGCTAACATATTGGCTAGTGAACAATCTCAATTAACACCCCTTCCGATTGATCAATGTACACAAGACTTATTTATACGCAATCGTGTGTTGTATGCACCCTTAATTAAATTCTGGAGAAATATATCTGTCGTATATAAACATTTTTGGCTGTCAGCATGAACCACGAAATTTATCTTTCAACTCTGTTTTTTCCCAGCAAAATAATATTCTAATAAGAGCCCCCTATTTCTTATTTTGAGAGCGCCCTGGGCACTTATTACGTCGAATTTATTTACAGATCCCTAGCTGTGACTAGGCTGAGCTGTAAAACATTCCCTCTCTTTTCACTGTCAACATAGGGTTGATTTGTTGCAACATGGCAAGTAAGGCAACCTTCATCCCCAGCCAACTATGTTTGTCGTAAGAGGCGACTTATTGAATCAGTTGGTCAGACTCTTATTTTTTCCCAACTGCGTGGATCGATGCTCGTGATGTCAATCACTGGATTGTCAGGTTACAGACCACCATCATACAGCTGGAATATTGCTGACTGCAGCTAACAACAAACATCATATTACTGTAAATCCTTGAATAAACGTATGGTCCAACTACCCTCTGCCTTATAATAAATACATGCTTTGTTTGTAAGCATATCCATGTTAACTGTCCACGGAACCTTCCGAAATAAACAAATGCCGGGCATTTATTCCAGGATTTATGGTATGTCATTCTCATGCTGTATTGGTCTGTTGCAGGAACTGCTGGTCCAGGTCAGGGGTTACAGGAAGAGAGACAGTCAACCAAAGATGCGGAAGCACAGCCTGTCAAATATAACCCCAACCAATCAATGTCTATAGAACAACAGAGACAGAAGCTGCCAGTGTTTCAGGTGTGATAACAGTGTTATACCATGACAACAGTTTTTTGATGCATAGCAGTGTTTGAAATTAAGAAAGGAGTCCTTGTAATAACCCTTATGTCACCAATTATAAGCCATTGTGAGTCCCTATATTCAAACAACTGTTATGTCCAGTAACACTCTTAATTTTAAACACTGCATAATATAACCAATGGTAAGGTAGACATGATTTTTGCATAAATTCAACATCAGGTTTTCATGCATTTTCAGTATTCCAAACCCTTCATGACAAACAAATGCTATCCAGTTTAGAAATGGTCTTCAGGAACCAATGCCTGTTGTTAGGGGCAACTAATGGGATCAGGTGTCAGGCTTGCTGAATTGGTCGATGCATGTCATCATATCCCAGTTTGATGCTCATGATATCAATCACTGGAGTGTCTGTTCCAGACTTGATTATCTATAAACTGCTCTCAAATAGCTGGAATATTGCTGAGTGTGGCATTGTACAACAAACTAACAAGTTATGTTTTGCTCTCTAATGAATTTTGAGTGTTGGTCTTGAAACTGCTGGATGAGAGCATGAACAGGTTATTTAAGATAATGTAGCTCAGTTATCTACTGGCTTTATCTCGTCTGTAAATAGTCTAGTCTAGGCTGGCATCCCCTGGTTGATAGCATGAACGAGTGATCAAGGGAAATAATAAATGTATGCATGATGTACATAATCATGATAAAATGTAAATATAGTTGTGTCACTAATTGTAAACAGGATATTTTGGTTGTTGGCTGACACTGCACTCAACTCGTTGCATCCCTAAGCTGTGCCATGAGTTGTTGTCATGCTCTACGGATGTCAGTACATGATTGGTTGGTTTGTTGTTTAATGCCGCACTCAGCAATATTCCAGCTATATGACGGCGGTCTGTAAATAATTGAGTCTGGACCTGACAATCCAGTGATTATTATCATGAGCATCAATCCACAAAATTGGGATCAATGACATGCTTCAATCAAGTTAGCGAGCCTGACCACCCGATCCCGTTAGTCGCCTCTTACAAAAAGTATAGTCGCCTTTTACGGCAAGCATGGGTTGCTGAAGACCTATTCTACCCGTGAACTGACATGCAAGAAAAAGCAGTAAGAAGCATGATATTGATACAGCTTTAATGTTACAGATAATTGTGACACTTTGATAATTCTTGTGAAGCTGCATGTGTACTGTTTACTGTTTAGTAGAATGTTCTGGAACTGGATTACTTTCTTCTGCCTTCAGCATAGGAGTCATATCCTGTATCTGGTGGAGAGGTACCAGACGGTGGTGATCATTGGGGAGACAGGCAGTGGGAAGAGTACTCAAATACCTCAGGTAGGTGCAGGGATCTGGTGGAGAGGTACCAGACGGTGGTGATCATTGGGGAGACAGGCAGTGGGAAGAGTACTCAAATACCTCAGGTAGGTGCAGGGATCTGGTGGAGAGGTACCAGACGGTGGTGATCATTGGGGAGACAGGCAGCGGGAAGAGTACTCAAATACCTCAGGTAGGTGCAGGGATCTGGTGGAGAGGTACCAGACGGTGGTAATCATTGGGGAGACAGGCAGCGGGAAGAGTACTCAAATACCTCAGGTAGGTGCAGGGATCTGGTGGAGAGGTACCAGACGGTGGTGATCATTGGGGAGACAGGCAGTGGGAAGAGTACTCAAATACCTCAGGTAGGTGCAGGGATCTGGTGGAGAGGTACCAGACGGTGGTGATCATTGGGGAGACAGGCAGCGGGAAGAGTACTCAAATACCTCAGGTAGGTGCAGGGATCTGGTGGAGAGGTACCAGACGGTGGTGATCATTGGGGAGACAGGCAGCGGGAAGAGTACACAAATACCTCAGGTAGGTGCAGGGATCTGGTGGAGAGGTACCAGACGGTGGTGATCATTTGGGAGACAGGCAGTGGGAAGAGTACTCAAATACCTCAGGTAGGTGCAGGGATCTGGTGGAGAGGTACCAGACGGTGGTGATCATTGGGGAGACAGGCAGTGGGAAGAGTACTCAAATACCTCAGGTTGGTGCATGAATCTGGTGGAGAGACAGGCAGTGGGAAGAGTACACAAATACCTTAGGTAGGTGCAGTGATCTGTCTGTGTGTCATGGTGAAGATTTGCACCGCATTGTAGCATCTGTCGTTCATTACAGTAACCCCATCCTTTTTTGCAGTACTTGCTTGAGGCTGGGTGGGCTGCTGAGGGTCACGTGATCGCTGTGACACAACCGAGACGAGTAGCGGCCATAACGGTAGGAACCTCCTGTACATACATGCCAGTAGAAAGACAGCTTATTAATGTTGTGTTATTGAAATCTCACAACAAAAATAAAGATAGAATTCAGGAAGTAGATCTCAAGGATGTCCAATGTACTGTTTCCTTTGAAAGTATTCTTGTCATGTAATGTAATGTCTGCTGCCAGGTTGCGGACCGAATTGCGGAGGAGAGAGGGACCCTCCTCGGTGACGAAGTCGGGTACATGATCCGGTTTGATGATTGCTCTGACCCCAACAACACACGCATGTTGGTAAGATGATACAGCTTCAGAAACAGATCAGAGAAAGGATAAGACTGTTCTCACACCGGAACTGCACATCCAGATACCAAATTTCAGTGCTACTCGTATTTAAAATTTAATGTTATTGAAGCAGACATTGAAAATCACTTGGTAGCAATGAGGATCCTGTTGCCAAAGAGCATTTCAAATCGTTGTTCAGAGTTACATCCATTAGCTGCCTGTATCTATTGTTATATGGGTTCAATGGGATGATGTGGTGGCCAAGTGGTTAAAGTGTTCGCACTGGTTCATTTTCCCCTCCAAGATATTGCTAGAATTTTGTATTTTACTTGTTCATTCAATAATTCCAACTGGTTACTGTAAAATTAAAGGAAAATATTAAATGAAAAAATATATTCAATATTTTGTGTTTGTAATTCTCAACATGCTCAAAGAAAAACTTGAATTACAAATAGTATTTTGCCAATTCACTAATTCAAGCCTGATATTGACTGTTGGTTTGCCAGCACCATGTTGGTAGCCATGTGTCAATAGCCTGCTCCTGCCTGGCCTCACTCAGTACACTGGCACACAGAACCCAAATATTTTTTAATTTGTTTGTTTATTATCCCTCTGGTTTGAAAAACGGGGGAATATAGCGATCACCATGTCCATCTGTCATTCCATCAGCCTTCCGTTTTCTGTTCCGGAACAGAACTCCAAAACCATTAAATAAATAAGTCTTGTTGAAGCTTTCTATATAGATCAGTCTAGTGGGAAACTGGTGCCTGTTAATGATTTGGGATTTTTATTCTTTTTGTTTTGTTTTCATGATGAAAACAAGTTGTTTTCCGTTTCCAGAACAGAATCTGGAATCCGTTTCCAAAATCCTTAAATACTTATTGTTGAAATTTACTATAAATATCAGCTCATGGGGAACTGGTGCCTTTTGATGATTTTGTATTTTGATAAATACTGAACAGCATTATGCTTCTTTACTGAACTGAAGGTATCCAATGAACCAAAGGTGGGGTATGATAGCCAAACTCCATTTCCAAATTGCACCAAACTGACGGAGGGGAAATGTCATCTCCTGATGACTCGTGTTGTTTAATGCTGACCTCAGTTATGGCGGCTGTCTGTAAGTAATCGAGTCTGGACCAGACAATCCTGTGATTGACGTTATGAGCATCCATCTACGCAGTTAGGGCGCAATTGACATGATATAGCTGGAATATTGCTGGGTGAGAGGTTAAACCACGAACAAACAAACAAACACACCCATTTCGGTTCAAGCTGACTGTCTGTTTGCTGTGTTTTTCAGTTTCTCACAGATGGGATGCTGATACGAGAAATAATGAAAGATCCATTACTAAGAAAATACAGGTATGTATTTGTCTCCAAGCGATGGCATTTAGGAGTACGTGTATTCAGTGTATTTCTAATTTTAAGAAAATTTTGCAAAGATTGGACAAGCTTTCTACAGAAAATGTAACGCCAATGTTTCCACATAAAAAAAAACATAAAAGAAATGTCCTTGTGCCTAAAGAAAGGGGAGAACTTTCTTGATTTGTTGTGGGGGCACGGGTGGCCCCATCCGTCTATGGCGCCGCGATTTGCTGTGCAGAGTTACGTCCCTTTGGGCACACTAGAAACCTATGATTGTTGGTTCAAATCCCTGTTACGCCCTGATTATGTTTCTAGGTTTGTCAGCACCATACCCGTGCTCGTGGGTTTCACCAAAGTGGTAAACGTCTCAGACGTCATCACTTTGGTCTTTCCTCCCACATTAAGCTGACACGCCGCGATATAACTGGAATATTGTTAAAATCAGTGTTAAATCCAACTCACCTACGCTCACTCACTTGATTTGTTCTTAGCATTGAAAACCAAGAGCTTCATTTCGAATTCAGAGTGAGAGAGACAAATATATATTTTTATATTAAAACTAGTTTTACCATTTTTCTAATTGAATTATTTTAAACAGAGAAATTGTTTTGAAGCATGTCCTCTCTTCCAGCATCATTATGGTGGATGAAGCACACGAGAGAAGCATCAACACTGACATCCTCCTGGGGCTGCTACGCAAGGTAGGAGTGCACCTGGTTACCTGTACTACAATGTAATCAGGATTTACAGCTGAATGATTGTCTCAATCACTATTGCATGAACAGGTGGCCCAGTCATTTTAGTGGTGGCAATTCACTATGCAGAGTTGTGTCCCTCAGTCATGCCCCAAACTTATGATCCTGAGTTTGAATCCTGGTCGCCCTGATTATGTTTCTTGATTTCACAGAACCATGTCCATGCTCGCGGGCTTCACCTGAGTAATAGACCTATGAGATCCCCCTTGGATGTTCCGATGCAATTTCACTGTTTCCATGGTCACTTATGCTTGCAGCTATATTGAGATTGGATGTCCACAGTGACAGCTGTCTGTAGATAATATTGTCATATGATAAGGAGTGAGAGTGAGTTTAGTTTAACGCCGCTTTTAACAGTATTCCAGTTATATCGCGGCGTGTCAGCTTAATGTGGGAGGAAAGCCGAAGTGATGCAGGTCTCAGACGTTTACCACTTCGGTGAAACCCACGAGCACGGGTATGGTGCTGACAAACCTAGAAACATAATTGGGGCGAACCGGGATTCGAACCCACAATCATAGGTTTCTGGCGTGCCCAAGGGATGCAACTCTGCACAGCGAATCGCGGCGCCTTAGACGACTGTGCCACCCGTGCCACCCTTGTCATTTATATTACTGACAACACACATCAGTCGAGACCATATTTAGGGTTTCACCAAAGTGTTAAACATCTGCATCCCTTCGGGCTTTCCTCCCACATTAAGCTGACACGCTGTTAGTTATACAACTGAAATACCTGTGAAGATATCCGGGGTAGAATAGGTCTTCAGCAACCCATGCTTTCTGTAAATGGTGACTCTGCTTGTCGTAAGAGGCAACTAACGGGATTGGGTGGTAAGGCTAGCTGACTTGGTTGATGCATGTCATCGTATCCTAATTGCATGGATTGTCTGATGCAGACTTGATTATTTACAGACTGCCGTCATATAGCTAGAATGTTGCTGAGTGCGGCATTAAACAACAAATGAAGAAACAAACAAACAACTGAAATACTATTCAATGCGGTGTTAAACCGAACTCACTCACTCGACTGGATGAAGCAACAACATTTTAATTGATAAATTTCTCAGCCTTGAACATTAATTTAGTTTACGTGCTATGATGAATTTATTAATTTTGGATTTTTGTTTTGTCTTTAGATTCAAAAGAAGCGGAATGATCTTAAAGTGATAGTTGCATCAGCCACATTGAATGCTGAGGTGAGTTACTGTGGTTATGGTACCATTTGCAGACCTGTGAAGATCCGGGGTAGAATAGGTCTTCAGCAACCCATGCTTGCCGTAAAAGGCGACTATGCTTGTCGTAAGAGGTGATTAACAGGATCAGATGGTCAAGCTTGCTGATATGGTTGTTGCATGTCATTGTATCCCATTTGTGTTGATCAATGCTCATGTTATCAATCTCTGGATTGTCTGGTCCAGGTCTGTCTGGTCCAGACTTGATTATTCACAGACCGCTGTCATAGCTGGAATATTGCTGAGTGCGGCATTAAACAACAAACAAACAAACAAACATCTCTCATGCCTGTAAGTAACCACTCACTCATGTTATGGTGACACTGTATTTTGTTTCTTGCAGGAAATGAGAGATTTCTTCAACAGCAATGACACAAAAGAGCCACTGTAAGTAACCATGGTAATTCTGAACTTGTTTGGTTGTGTATTTTGACTCTACATTATCTGCCATACCCGTGAAGATCCGGGGTAGAATAGGTCTTCAGCAACCCATGTTTGCTGTAAAAGGCGACTATGCGTGTCGTAAAAGGCGACTAACGGGATTGGGTGGTCAGGCTCCCTGACTTGGTTGATGCATGTCATCAATCCCAATTGCGCGGATTGATGCTCATGATATCAATCACTGGGTTGTCTGGTCCAGACTCGATTATTTACAGACCGCCATCATATAGCTGGAATATTGCTGATAGCCGCGTTAAACAACAAACCAACCAACCAACCAAAGCCAATGGGGAAACATTAATGTGGAAACTTGCTGATCCTGTGAGAACTGCACCAGGAGTCTGGACCTACAGGACTGGATCACATGGGGATCCATCATTACAGTTGGTCCCTAGTAACCTATGCTGGTCGTAAGAGATAACCAAATTGATTTGGTGGTCAGACTCTGTGACTTGGTTGAGAGCGTCAAATCGTACCCCGTAGGTGTTGATCATTGTTCACAATTATCAATCACTGGATTGTCTGGTTCAGATTTTATTAGTTACAGACCGCCATTATATCATGTATATAACTGGAATATTTCTGAGTGCAGAATTAAACAACAAACAAACAAACAAAATGATACGGAATTATTTGAGTGAGTTTATGTTTTTTTGGCAGAATTTCATCCTAGTATCTAACTGACAAATGACGTGCTTTGTAGAGGATACATTGGCTTCACTAGGTTGTGTGTGTCATGTGTGTGCTCTGTGTTTCAGGAATGACACAGCTACCATACTGACGGTGGAAGGCCGGGAGTTCCCTGTGGACATCCACTACCTCCTGGAGTGAGTGCTTGTTTCCTGTGGACAGATCCCTTGCTTGTGTTCCATGCTTGTCTCGCTGCAAGGTATCCAGGGCAGGATGGGCCCCCAGTGCCCTTTGCCCTTGCCCTTTGGGGGAGGTGCAAGGGTAGAGAGCGAACTGTAACATTGCTGACATGATTTTGTTCCAGATTGGGATTTCTTAAAGTTATTTTCCTAAATTCCTCTATTGTGGTCCTGTTCTCTGTGAAATACAAGTCACCTCAACAAAGCTATCACATTAGTTATAGCTATATTTTAGCAAAAATGGGGGCGGTCGGGTAGCCTAGTAGTTAAAGCGTTCGCTTGTTGCGCCGAAGACCAGGGTTCGATTCCCGACATGGGTACAATGTGTGAAGCCCATTTCTGGTGTCCCCCGTCGTGATATTGCTGGAATATTGCTAAAAGCGGCGTAAAACCAAAATCACTCACTCACTATAGCAAAAATGAATCAAATTATTATTAATCCAACCACGTTATCAGAAATGAGCGGGCCACTGTAACTTGATAATGCCCTCATATTGCTTGATGATGGGCCATTATCACGCCCGTTGTTAGGTGACGTCACATTCGTGTTCAATAGTGACTCCATCTGGTTTGTTCTATGAAGTTTCCATATTTGTAACAGTTGGTCAGTGACATTCGTTGTGTGTTGATTGCAGTAAATGTTTCGAAACCGATATTGTTGTTTATATTTATTTGATAACAAATTCTATCCAATTTAGCTATCATAACGGTAATGCTATTTTTCAGGGCATTATCATTTGCAGAAGCCCTCGGTCTTTTCAACTACTCTCTTTCGTCAGGCAGTTAAAGGAAGACCTCGGGCTTCTGCAAATGATAATGCCCTGTAAAATAGCGTTACCCTTATCAACATGATTTAGAATTTAAATATGTCTTCTTTACGATTACATCACTCAAATAGTTGTTTGTATGTGTGATATGCTGGTGTGTAGAGGCATAGGTGTACAAGCATATATGTGTATACGCACATGTGCAAGGATGCACCAGTTTGTTCATGTACCGATATATGTATGTGTGTATTTGTGTATTTGTGTGTGACTTGCATATTCGCATCATAATATTTGCAACAGTAGGTACAATTAATTTAAATTTATTATTTTATGTACAGTTTACTCTTATTAATTGTTAAATGTCCTTTGTAGGGAGAGGTGTTTAAAAAGGGTTAACCTGTTCACCAATCCCATTCCTTTTTTTGGGGGGGGGAATAAATATTGTTTAAATCATATCAACATGAATTAGGAAATTTTATATTCCAATTTGGGAATTTTACTAACATTTTCTGCAGACTTGGGGTTGAATATCGACTTCTGAGCTATCCTAGCTAAACCCCTGCCTCTATTAGCCTGAGTGGTCTTGTGGTAGAGCGTCCGCCCGGAGAGCGGAAGGTCCGGGGTTCAATTCCCGGCCGCGTCATACCAAAAGACGTTGAAATATGGTACTTGTTGTTACCCTGTCTGGCGCTCGGCATTAAGGGGCTAAAACAAGGACTGGTTGGCTCGGAGTCAGTATACTGTGTCTGAGTGGGGTATTCATGTTAAACTGCGGCATGGTATCTCAGTGGGGACTATTAATCGGCATCAGTCCGGACTAGTACAAGCAGCCACACACACGCGTGCATGCACGTTGCCATATAAGTGCAATAATCTTGGACACGACGTTAAACCCAGTTTCACCTCACCTCACCTATTAGCCTGATGCTGTAGCAAGAGTGGACACAGCTTGTATGATGAAGGAATGTGGGCTTTGTCTTTCAGTCCCCACCCTGACTATCTGAAAGCCACGGTGGAGACAGTGATGAAGATTCACTTCAACCAGCGGGAGGGAGATGTCTTAGCTTTCCTAACAGGCCAGGTGAGTTGATATTACCTGTGTATTATTTCAGGTGAGTTGGTATTACCTGTAAGTCATTATCATGTACGATCTGATACCATATCATTTTCAAACGAGTACACATTCCTAAATAAGTAAAAGAGGAAGTATATACTGGTAGTATTCTTTGAAATAATAACAATTATCAGCGCTCTGGGACCAAGATCGAAGACAACATGTAGATTGAAAACAAATATTGTATAAGAAAAAATAATTTGTGTTCATCGTCTAGAATACCAACTCACCAATAAACATGATAAGGCTTAAGAGTTCATAAGGATGATCATGTTTGAGAATCGTTTCTAATTAGTGAAACTGAATTTAAAAACATCTTTGAACAGACATGAACTAACTAAACATGAAGTCAGAACCTGTAGTGGACACTCAAAATGAAGCAAGATCATTAGTCAGTAAGGATAAGATATATGGATGATCAACTTCTTTATTACAATTAGGAGCGACATTTCAGTGTAGGTTCTACCACCCTTATCAAGCAAGTGAAGTACAGAGTATGGTTGACAGATTTTGAAGTCTTTGAGGTTGGTTGTAAGGGCTCTCGTTTTGTTAGAACGTACACTGAAACATCGCTCCTAATTGTAATAAAGTTGTTCATCCATATGACTTATCCTTACTTAGTACTCCAACTTCTATGTGCCTCTCAAAGAAGTCAAGATCATTGGTCTATGAACATCTTGTTTTCTATTTCAGGAAGAAGTACAGAGAGTGGTGTCAATGTTGATGTGAGTTTTCCTGTTGGTGCATCGTATATGTAGTTTCAAGTTGCCAGCGCTGGTATTTGTTTCTGTAGTGAGTGAGTGAGTGACTGATTTGGGTTTAACGCCACTTTTAACAGTATTCCAGTTATATCACGGCCTGTCAGCTTAATGTGGGAGGAAAGCCCGAAGTGATGCAGGTCTCAGACGTTTACCACTTCGGTAAAACCCATGAGCACGGGTATGGTGCTGACAAACCTAGAAACATAATTGGGGCGAACCGGAATTCGAACCCACAACCATAGGTTTCTGGTGTGCCCAAGGGACGCAACTCTGCACAGCGAATCGCGGCGCCTTAGGCGACTTGGCCACCGTTTCTGTAGTAACACAATAGCATGACTCTGTGCAGTCTGCAACCACCAGCTCTAAGCCTGTCAAGTTCAGTGAAGTAAACTCAGTTAATGATAGTCCACATAATAACAAAATCTTCTGAAAATTATGCTTTGAGGTTGACCGAAAAAAGTTTTGTCACAAACAGGATGTGACAATCCTATAACATGTACGGTACGATGTGGTAATGATAGCATGCTTTTCTTTATGTTTGTTTGTTTGTTTAATGCCGCACTAAATAATAAATGCTGGTAAGGCAGTTGCTGTATACCATGTATTTAATAAACTCAAACTAGTATCATGTAGATATCACCCGTTAGGATCCAGGTTAGAATAGGTCTTCAGCAGCCCATGCTTGCTGTAAAAGGGGACTATTCTTATCGTAAGAAGCGATTAACGGGATCGGGTGGTCAGGCTCACTGACTTGGTTGAAGCATGTCATCATATCCCAATTGCGTGGATTGATGCTCATGATGTCAATCACTGGATTGTCTGATCCAGACTCGATAATTTTCAGACTGCTGTTATATAGCTGGAATAGTGCTTAGTGTGGGGACAAACAACAAGCAAGAAACAAATTGTACAACGGCTCCCATGACTCAAAACAAAGCTGTTATGGCGAATGGGTGCAGGGCATTTATCATAATAGAATTGAGATTAAATTCACCAGAAACATCGAGGATAGTCATCATGGCGTTACAGTTAGGTTTGTGTAGCAGTAGGTTTATGTTGCAGCGATGAAGCAAAGAAACTGAAGAAAGACGACCTGAAGATGAAAGTGTTGCCGATGCACGGGAGTTTGCCAGCTTCAGAACAGGTGAGCAAACATAGAGTTTATCATGATATATATTATCTGATATGATTAAGACAAGGATTTGGTTGTTATGAGCACCAAGGGACTGTTGGGAGTTGTTTGGTACTGTATTCGATGTAACAAGAGCCCTGCTCTAATAAGCGCCCACGGCGGTATTTGCTAATATATTGGCTAGTGAACAATCCCAATTAGCACCCCTTTCGATTGATCAATGTTCACAAGACTTATTAATTTGCGTACAATACGTGTTCATGTCATACTATGTTTACGACACCCGTGCCTAAATTCAAGTATTTAGACACTTGTCTTGTAAACATAGTATGAAGTGAACACTCATATGATATCCTCCATGTAATTCTGCTGACATAATTTTCTGTTGTTCCAGATGAAGGTATTTGAGAGGACATCCCGTTATGTCAGGAAGATTGTCGTGGCGACCAACATTGCCGAGACCTCCATCACCATCAACGGCATAGTTTATAGTAAGTCAGGAGGTAGATGCAACTTCTTGTAGGTCTAAAGCAGCAGAGTTGCCTCCCTTTGTTATTTCAGGATCCAGATTTGACTCAATAATGATTTCAGGTTTGTCAGAGCCAAACCTGTGTTTATAAGTTTCACCACTGTGGTAAACATTTACCAACTTTTCATGTTGGGCTTTCCTCCTACATTAATCAACCATACAACAAATTTATACAGTAACTAAAGTACCGGTACTGTCAAAAATGGTGTCAATCCTACTTTCTTCTCTTGTGACAGTAGTAACAGTGCTTCATATGTTTCAGTTGTCGACTGTGGTTTTGTGAAGATCAAGGCCTACAATCCCACTTCTGGAATTGGTAAGTCCTCGTATCTAGTTGGTTTCGTTAATATCCTGGCTCAGTCTGGTTGATAGTCCGGATTATTCAGGAAGCAGAAACATGTCTGGTGATTCTAATGAGCTATGGGAGGAAAGACACAGAAACGTCAGTGGACTTCATTTGTTGCAGTTTGGGAATCAGCATAGTATGGGTTAACACTCGTATTACACCCTTTGGATGTTCCACAGCAGACTGTCTGCTATTCAAGCTTGCGGGTTTGTTGTGTAACGCCGCACTCAGCAATATTCCAGCTATATGACGGCGGTGTTTACAATCCAGTGATTGACATCATGAACATTGATCTACGTAATTGGGATACCATGACATGACATGCATCTACCAAGTTTAGTCTGCCCACCAATACCGTTAGTTGCCTCTTACGGCTAGCATGGGTTGCTGAAGACGAATTCTTACCCAAACCTTCAGTGGGCTACCTCTTTCAACTGGGTTGCTGAAGAAGAATTCTATCCCGGATCTTCATTGGGGAGACGAGCATTGGTTGCTGGAGACAAATTCTAGTCCCAGATCTTCAAGGGGTTTGCAACGATATGGCGTTTGGCCACAAATATCGTTGGGTGTAGATATTGTTATCATGGAGAAACCATTACTATAACTGTCAACACACATCATTTTATACCGTGCTCATGTGTTTCACTGAAATGGTCAACATCTAAACCCTGTGTCACATCGGATTGTCTTCCAACATCAAGCTGACACGACGTTATGTAACTGAAATATTGTTCAAAGCGACACTAAGCCAAACTCACTCACACATTACCATTGCTTCAGACATTTTCAAACAGTACAGCTGACACCGACATCAATCTGATACATCTGCAAATATGGAATAAGTATTTTGGGGAATGAGTCATCTCCCTTGTAATTATAGATGGCGTTTGTGCTTATTGATGCATTATATTTAACCACTTTTTGGAATGAGTGTCGTATCAAGATGTACAAATAATGATGACTCCCTCAATAGAATCTGACCTCAGCAATGTCGGACAAGTCCATTTTTGCATAGGTGGTTATTTCCTGCATCTTGTCACAATCCTCACGTCGATTACCTGTACTTTTTCTCCCAATACCCGATGTCATATCTCTCCCACTTTCGGATGTGATCATTCGGCTATCACATTTATCTGAGTTTCCCTGCTACATCTGTTTGGAACAACTTACCAGACACTCCCCTTTCAAAAATAATGTTGTCTAATTTACGACGTCATGAAGTTGTGAGCGCATGTTCGAATATCTTGAAATGACGTCATGATAGAACTATGTTTTATCGTAATATAAACCAAACCTCATTGTTCATTTGTGATTTATTGTGTAGCTATCTTGTATTTCAGAATAATCAGGCATTTAGAATAAAAACCAACATGGCCTGCAAAATGTTGGTTGGCTAAGACAATATGAACACAATAAATCCTACTATAAATATAATTCCTGTTACAAGTGAGGAACAATGCTAGAAACATGCTTTTTAGGGAACACAAGTTGCACTTTTTAGCACTATCTTGCGTATTGTATACTGATGTGAATATCGTACCTCACAGAGTCACTGGTGATTGTCCCTGTGTCCCAGGCTTCAGCCAATCAGAGAGCAGGGAGAGCGGGACGTGTGCGTGCAGGGAAGGCCTACAGACTGTACACAGGTAGGTGTGTGGAACAGCAGCAGTTGCTGTTTTCCCTTATGTGTTTGTTGTTTATCATCCAGTAGTTTAAGTGTCACTACTTGTGGCTATATGCAATGTGTTTTGAAAAGTAGGAAAGTATTCATAGTATAAATGTCTGCATGGTTGGAACTAGGTGAGGTTTAGGAATGCTGTATAAATCTCAAATGTGTTGTGTTAAGAGAACTAGGAAAGTAGTATTAATGTTGTGGTTAGACAACTAGGACAGAAGTAATTAACATTAATACTACTTTCCTAGTCCTCTAAATACGTATTTAGCGTATTTGGCGTATTTAGAGGACTAGGAAAGTAGTATTAATGTCATGTTTAGACAACTAGGAAAGTAGAGTTGATGTCATGTTTAGACAACTAGGAAAGTAGTGTTAATGTTGTGTTCAGAGAACTAGAAAGGAAGTATTAATGTCATGTTTAGACAACTAGGAAAGTAGTATTAATGTCATGTTTAGACAACTAGGAAAGTAGAGTTGATGTCATGTTTAGAGAAATGGGAAATTTGTTTAGATGTCTGTGTGGTGGGAAGTAGGTGGAATGTAGGAAAGTAGTATAATTTTGTGTGTGGTGTGTTTAGAAAGCTGAAAAAGGAGTATAAATGTCCTCTTGTTGTGTTCAGAGACAGCCTATGACGGCCTGCCGGAGTCGACAGTTGCCGAGATGCAGCGGAGTGACCTTGCACCTGTGGTACTGCAGCTCAAGGCTCTCGGCATCTCCAACGTCCTCCGGTTCCACTTCCTGTCAGTGAGTTCTATGACGCCTTCACTCTTGATGGACAGACATACAACTTGATGTTGAGAAACTCTTTACGGGCAAGAAGCTCTTACGCTTTTTGAAAACTCATTTTCAGATTCTGGGTTACAATACATTCTCAGCAACTTATTCTGGTTGTAAGAGGCGACTTAATATAGATCAGGTGGTCAGGCTCAGTAACTTGGTTCTTTGTGTGTGAGTGTACCCTCACAGCGTGGATATTTGCTCAATCACTAGATTGTCTTTTCCAGAATTAATTATTTACAGACCATATTCATATAGCTGGAATGAAAACTTTAAACAACAAACAAACAAATAAAGCTAATTAAAAGTTTCACCATGAGACATTTTGTAGAAGAGGCCGGTGATATCACTTGTTAAAACCATACAGATTTTTCATGGCCCAGGACCACCAGACATTCCTTCAATTCTTTTGTGACTTAGTTGTATGCACCTAGTTAGTGATAGTACATTACAGTTATTATGTTGGATAAATACTCGCTGGAAACACTAAATTTAAGACATTTGTGGAATCCTCGGAGACCTTATGGACACACATCTAGTCCGTTTTAGCATATTTTCAAGGAAAGAAGTGCAACTTAATTGTGCATATAAGATAGCTATGCCATAAATCGCAAAGAACAATGAAGGATGAAGCATGGTTTATTTCACAATAAAACAGTGTTCTATCATGATGTCATTTCTGGAGATTCGAATATGCGCTCGCAACTTGATGACATCATATATTGGAGAACAATATTTTTGAGAGGGAAGGGTCCAGTAAATTTATTCTCCCTGCAGTGTTTTATTGTACGATTAACAATCAAAACGAGTCATTTATTTCTGAAGTAAAAGACCCGATGATTAAGGTTTTAGAGAGGTTTTATGAAAGAAGTGGATCAAGTTCTTCACCCAAGCTTTTCAACCTCACAGCCTAGGCAATTATTAAAAATTTCAACTGTTTATTTCTCGATTTACTGATCTTTTCATCTTATCCATTTCTGTAATTTATAGTTGTGAAAGAAAACTGTTCAAAGTTCACCAAAAACATATTGTAAGTCCTTTAGAAATGCAATCTTTCAACAGTCTTCAAACAGTATCTTTAAAAATTCAAACAAACAAAAATTGTGGCAATTTTCTTGGGCCAGATGAATCCCTTATTTTATAAAAGTTAAAAGTGACTGAAATCCTTTTGTCCTCGACAGGCGCCGCCAGCACAAAACATGCTACGAGGTCTGGAGCTGTTGTATGCACTTGGAGGTCAGTCTGTTACGTCCTCGTTAATCCATGGGGACGCGGGTTAGAATTTGTCTATCATGCAACCATTGCTGGTCATTACAATTGACTTGGATTGGATTGAGTTGACCGACTCAGTGACTTGGCTGATGACGTGTCACAGTGTCTTGGATCGCTGCTTGTGATACACCTGGGATATTGATTTCAGCGTTAAACAATACTCGCTCGCTCGCTCGCTCACTCACTCACTCACTCACTCACTCACTCACTCACTCACTCACTCACTCACTCACTCACTCACTCACTCACTCACTCACTCACTCACTCACTCACTCACTCACTCACTCACTCACTCACTCACTCACTCACTCACTCACTCACTCACTTGCGGTGGGGTAGCCTAGTGGATGAAACAGTGGATGACAACACCCCGGGTTCGATTCCCCACATGGGTACAATGTGTGAAGCCCATTTCAGGTGTCCTCACCATGATATTGCTGGAATATTGCTAAAAGCAGCATAAAACCGTACTCACTCACTCATTCAATCATGTGAAAATGTATCCTACTCAAAACAAGTTAAAGAACACCAACAATTAGAAGGCTGTGTGCTGCAATACCCACCAGCCATGACAGATAAGCTATAAAAAATACTATATAAGCCATAAAAAAAAATGGTTGTGCTTTAACTACTTTGGAGTAGTATATTATATGACAATACCTCTTTCACATCACCTGTACAGAAATAGGGTCTGCATAATAATCTGAATTTGACGACACTTGTTTATCCTACTATTATCTAAATCATGCATGTTCATGGTCGAAACTTTATACCCCTCTTCGGCCATTCTTCACAAGCAGGGGAACAGGTGCCCCGGTCATTTAGGGCATGATAGGGTGCTGCATTAGAATAGGTCTTCAGCAACCCATGTTTGTTGTAAGAGGCGACTAACGGGATCAGGTGGTCAGGCTCGCTGACTTGGTTGATTCATGTCATCGTATCCCAATTGCGTAGATTGATGCTCATTATGTCAATCACTGGTGTGTCTGGTCCAGATTTAATAGTTTGCAGACTGCCGTCATATAGCTGGAATATTGCTGAGTGCGGCGTTAAAAAGCAAACAAATAAATTTTGTAATGCTGAGTATTGATGCACACTTAGACATGCCGGAATCCTATGATTGTGGATTATGTGTCTAGGTTTGTCAGCACCATACCCGTGCTAATGGGTTCCATCTAGGAACTCGCATTTCTCCCATGTTAAGGTGACACTGTGCTATAACTTAAATACTGCCCAACACGATGATAAACTAATCTCGCTCACTGATAACTCTGTTCTGTTGATCCTTCCCTTCAGCCCTGGATGACAATGGCAACTTGACGTCCCCCCTGGGCCTCCAGATGGCCGAGTTCCCTCTGTCCCCCATGTTTGCCAAGATGCTGCTTGTGTCAGGTAGGACTCTGCTCTGCAGAATTGTGCCCCTTAGCTTTGCAAGGATCAGCTGATTCACCCTGATAAGGATCCTTGCTCAGCCAGCACCATTCTTTGTGGGTTTCACCAAAGTGATAAACTGTCATGCCATCATGCAACGGAAATACTCTTCAAGGCGATGTTAACTCAGGCAAAGATAGATCCCTTACACTTAAAAAAATGAAAGAATTGGTTCTCAGGCAATGACTTTTGAAAATATAGTGCGGGCAGGCGGGCGGTGTTTTGGTGGGTTTTTTTGCTTGTAACCAAATAAACAGTTGTGTACCATCAACCTGGAAAGGGCTTCCCTACATATACAAGTATACAAACTCCTATTGCTGCCATGACCATAACGCAGTAAAGCAGTGTCCATGTAATGGGAAGTAACCGTGTGCTATATTGGATCACATTGTTTTTAAGTATTAGGTTGGGGGTTTTTTAAATGAAAATAAAATCAAAATGTGTGTCAGACTTTATGATGATGTGGGCGGTGCCTGAGAACCAAGACTATTAATTTTTTTTAGAATTACATGAACTACAGACCCGTGAAGATCTTGGTTAGAATTGGTCTTCAGCAACCCATGCTTGTAGTAAGAGGCAACTGACGGGATTGGGTGGTCAGACACGGAGACTTGGTCATCATATCCCAATTGTGTAGATTGATGCTCATGATGTTGAATCACTGGATTGTCTGGTTCCATACTCAATTATTTACAGACTGACATATAGCTGGAATATAGCTGAGTGCAGCATTAAACAACAAACATGAACTACATTATGTCCATCACAGACATACTGCAGGTTGTCAGGTTGGTGTACTTTCATATACCTACAAAGTAGGGGTGTCAAGATGAATTGCAATATCTATATATTGCTATTGGTAAGCACTTAAAGTCAATAGGGGCTGTCGGGTAGCCTAGTGATTAAAGCATTCGCTCGATACGCCGAAGACCCGGGTTCGATTCCTGACATGGGTACAATGTGTGAAGCCCATTTCTGGTGTCCCCCGCCGTGATAATGCCAATTTCTTGAACTAGGAATATCTGAACAAATGAAGTTTTGAATACTTTGGTGACCTAAGTTCAGAATGATGGAACATTGTATTGCAGGAGAGTTTGAGTGTTCCGAGGAGGCCCTTACTGTGGCGGCCATGACTCAGATTCAGAACGTGTTTGTCACGCCGTCCGGACAGAAAATAAGAATGGTGTGTATACCTTGTATCCGTCCATGGATCAGAAGTAGACTTTAAACTCATAACTAACGGACTATACCTATATCAGGACAACATGCTTTTTGTATGTTTTATAGAATTGGTTCCAAATATGTCCTGTTTGTTGTAAACTGAAGTGAAGTGAAATTTGGGTTTAACATCGCATTCAAGTTTTTTGCACTTATATAGCGACGTGCATAGTCCGGATTATGCAGATTTTATAGTGATAGCCCACAGAGATACCATGCCACAGTTTAAAATGAATACCACCCTCAGACACAGTATACTGACTCTGAGCCTCCAGTCGTTGTGAGGTGAGGTGAGGTGAAATGGGGTTTAACGTCGCAACCAAGATTATTGCACTTATATAGCGACGTGCATGTATGTGTGTGTGTTTGTGTGGCTGCTTGTCCGGACATGCCGATTTATAGTGCTAGCTCACTGAGATACCATGCCACAGTTTAACATGAATACCCCACTCAGACACATTATACTGACTGACTGAGCCGACCAGGCCTTGTTTTAGCCCCTTAATGCCGAGCGCCAGACAGGGTAGCAACAAGTACCATCTCTTAACGTCTTTTGGTATGACGCGGCCGGGATGGAACCTGGACCTTCCGCTCTCCAGGCTGACGCTCTACCACTAGACCACGGAGGCGGTCTTCCAGTCCTTGTGATAACCTTATAGTGTCGAGTGCCAGATGGTGTAAAATAACATTCACTCACTCACAGCCATCTGATTTTATGATTGGTCGGTCATCAGATGATAAGAAAACAGCAAAACAACTTTTAAAGTTTGCAGTGGTACCTCATCAATTGTTTCAGGACAAAGCCAAGAGAAGATTCTCCTGTGAAGAAGGAGACCATGTGTCACTTATAAACATCTTTAATGCATTCCTGAAGGTAAATAGTTGATGATCTTATCATATGATTGTACTTTAAACATAAATTGCAAAAAGGAAAATATATATTTGCAATTTATCTGAAGCCAATGAAACAGAAGATGAAAGTTACATCTGGAGTTCATATTCTTGTGGATGTTTGGCTTATTGTTTGCAATACTGAACAAGTATTTGAGAAATCCTTCTCTAAGAAAACAATAAACCAAAACAAATTCATTTTTAGGCTAAAAAAATAATAGTCTTGTTCTAAGGCACCACCCACATCATCATAAAGTCTGTCGCACTTTTCTTTTTTATTTCCATTTTCAAAACAAAAACCACATGAACCGAACAGTGAAATGCTACAATACTTAAAGACAATGCGATCTAATATAGCACACAGTTACTTCCCTTTACATGCACACTGCCTTACTGCGCATCTCGTGTTATGGTAATGGCAGAAATAGAAGTTTGTGTGCTGGTTTGGCCATTTGTAAATTGGTCAATGAAAACATGAAATTTACGATAAAACTTTGCTTGACATGATGATTTACAAATTCAGTTGTATTTGTGTACTGTATGCCAGACAATGTTTCATATACAGAGATTAAGATTACACGTGTATTTGTCTCATAAAATAATCCATAAATAGCAATCAGCTGATCACACATTTTCTCCCCTATCTATGGGTGATTTAGTTTTACAATTTTTAATGTCACGGCCAATATCTTAACTGAAATGAAATTTCAACACAGTCATAGGAAGACTGAAGACTTTGTATCTCTAACGACTAATGTTCATTAAAAGCCAGTTCATGGTGAGTTGATGTGATTTGGCAATCAGTTCATAAATGATTTCACCAAAATCTATATAAACAAGATTGAATGTAATCTTAGATAAAAGTAATATAATGGATTACAAACGTAAGTCCAGATACGCAATGAACACTTTAATAGCCAGACAGTGTAATAACAGGACCAACTTGCGTACTTCAGTACAGATTTTTTACATGCTTCTTACAGTGGTGTGTGCCCATAATAAGTTCATTGAATGCGTGTATAATGCACACACTGGTAGTCCAATGGCAGTCAAGTACTGTATTCCAGTATTTTACTCATCCAGGAATACATTTATGTTGGGAGACCCTTTCCTAGGTTGATTGTCAACAACTGTTCATTTGGTTACATACTAGTTTGAACAACCAAAACATCATCCTGCCTGCCCTCACAACATTTTCAAAAGTCATTGCTTGAGAACCAATTCTTTTATTTTTTTAAGCCTTATCCTGATCTAATACTGAAAATTTGTCTTTTTAATTTGTTTTGTCAAGCTAGGATCAGCGGTCAATACTCAATCAATATGGTTGAGCTTGGAGAACTAGTTATCACTTGAAATCAATCACTTGCAATATTCTTGTACTTAACTTAAGTGATAGCAGTCAATAGGTTAGAAGTTCCTTCAGACCATGTGACAATAAGTCCCTCAGACCATGTGACAGGAAGTCCCCCCAGAACATGTGACAGGAAGTCCCCTCCAGACCATTTGACAGTAATTCCCTCAGACCATGTGACAGGAAGTCCCCTCAGACCATGTGACAGGAAGTCCTCTAAGACCATGTGACAGGAAGTCCCCTCCAGAACATGTGACAGGAAGTCCCCTCAGACCATGTGACAATGAAGTCTTCTCAGACCATGTGGCAGGAAGTCCTGTCAGACCGTGTAACAGGAAAATCCTTCAGACAATTTGACAGGAAGTCCCATCAGACCATGTGACAGGAAGTCCCCTTAGACAATTTGACAGGAAGTCCCTCAGACAATGAGACAGGAAGTCCCCTCAGACAATGAGACAGGAAGTCCCATCAGACCATGTGACAGGAAGTCCCCTCAGACAATTTGACAGGAAGTCCCATCAGACCATGTGACAGGAAGTCCCCTTAGACAATTTGACAGGAAGTCCCCTTAGACAATTTGACAGGATGTTCCTCAGACCATGTAACAGAAAGTTCCCTCATATCACGTAACAGGAAGTTCCCACAGATAAACAAACTCCTGTAGCCTGATACATCAACTTCAGCAAATCTTTTTCAGATATGAGTAGATGTACTTGTTACTTACACCTAGGTCCGGGGTAGAATAGGTCTTCAGTAACCCATGCTTATCGTAAGAGGCGACTAATGGGACAGAGTGGTCAGGCTCGCTGACTTGGTTGATGCATGTCATCGTATCCCAATTGTGTGGTTCGATGCTCATGACATCAATCACTGGATTGTCTGGTCCAGACTTGATTATTTACAGACCACTGTCATATGACTGGAATATTGCTGAGTGCGACGTTAAACAACAAATAAACAAACAAAACATGGAAACTTGGTGAACGTTTCCTAGCAATATGCTGCAGGCCTGTCCCAATCCCTCTCGACAGGCAGAGCTCAATACACAGAAATGGACAACGTTTCCCCGCAGTGAAATGGTATATGGGGAAATAGGTCAGATTGAGCTAGACTGGTACCCTGCCCCTCGCCTCCTAGCGGGTGCAGGCGAGGAACACAAGCACTCAAGGACAGAGCGTGTCTCCCTCTTATGAGTGTGCCTGAATAATACAAACAAGTTTAATGAAATAACTTACAGTTCGGAATGTTTTAGAAGATATGTTCATAATTATTTATGTATTTGGTGTGTACCCATATCATTATGCATATGTGAGAGAAAGATAAAGTTTCTTTTAATAGTTTGTTTACAGCTTTCCAACTATTACTCACCCATGTAACTTTCTTAAAAAGCGTGGCGTCTGGCACCGTGCAATAAGTTCCCCCAGACCTGGATTTTTCATGATGAAAACAAGATGTTTTCCGTTTCTTGACGAGAACTCCTAAACCACTGAATATTTCAAGATGAAACTTGTTATACAGATAAGTCTAGTGATATTTAGAAAAATACTGAAAAGCATTATTTTTTTTCTTCACTGAACTGAAGGTACCATTGGCAATGAACCAAAAGTGGGATACAAGTAGCCCATCTCAATTTCCAATTTGCACCAGACGGGGGTAGATATGTCATCTCCTGATAACTCTTGTTCATTATTCAAGACAATACTAAACACTTGTCTTCTTCTGTTGTCCAGTATGGTAAGAACTCTAAGTGGTGTCATGAGTACTTCCTCAACTACAAGGGTCTGTGTCGGGCCGTGGAGATTCGCAACCAACTTCACAGACTCCTGAAGAAGTACAACGTTCCTCTCAACTCCTGTGAAGGTACGTGGGCAAACTCATCGTCATTGTGTGTTGGTCATGTTTTGCATTTACTTGGTTTTTAGATCCACCTACCTGACATTTTTTAAATTTGGAAAAATATAACACTTGGAGAATTGGACCATTGTATCCTTGGGCCATTGTATCCTAGGACCATTGTATCCTGGGATCATTGTATCATTGAACCAGTGTATTCAAGGACCATTGTGTCCTGGGACCATTGTGCCCTGGGACCATTGTATTCTTGGACCATTGTATATTTGGACCATTGTATACTTGGACCATTGTATCCTAGGACCAATATATACTGGGACCATTGTATCCTGGGATCATTGTATCCTTGGATCATTGTAATGGTGAAGGATTCTAGTCACTTGCACATTTTAATTCTTCGTTGAAGCCAATATAACAATTCTACCTCCACATTCTAGTGGAAGGGAGGTAAGTCCAGCCAAACAGGTATCCTCTGGTTTGGTCCAGATTTTACAGGTTCTTCCTTATGGTTTGTGTAGTCAATGAAATATGGTTTACCACTGAGCCTGTATGTTAGATGTGTGTTTAACTGAAGGTATGTGAAGGTGGCATGTCATGGCTACGTCATGACATGGTCTTTGGTCATGTATATGAATTATTCAGTATTAATACCCATCATTGCCTTCGTTCCCTTCCTGAGGAAGATTCAACATGACATATTTCAGCTGTAACAGTCAACCTTCTCACTCTCTGTTCCTACCAGCACCTACACCAAATGTATGGTTCAAGTTAGGGCTGGGACGAGTCAAAATTTACTACCCGGGTACCCACCCCCCATTATCCTACCCGGGTACCGACTATAGGTCTCAGGAGATGTCTCAAAATGTCCGATTGGGAATTCTTTAGCATAGCCCTGGCAAAACGTATTTAGTTACACGTATTTAACAATCTGGTCATGCATACACTGAAGTTGACTTAAGTTATATCTTTATTCAACCATATGACAAATCAGAAGGAATGGGTGCACAGTCAGAAAGAAAAGCGAACATTAGTGACTTGTAGTGTAACCAAAGAGTTCAAGATAATTTTAGTCATTAGACAATATATCACATGACTAACCATGGGTCCGGGTAATCCTGTGGGTACCCGGGTCCTACTCAGTACCCACCCGACACGGGTACCCGAGTTACCCGTCCCAGCCCTAGTTCAAATATGTTTTTATTGCATGTATATATACTGTAAATATGGAAATTATGCGTCTCCAAATTAATACGACTGCTGACCCCTAGCCAAAAATGCGACTGAAAATCAATGTGACTCCCCCCACCCCATCCCCAGTGCAATGATACATATCCTTACCATAATCAATCAAACAGCAAATAACACAGCTTATTAGCCCTGAGAAGAGCACTTCTGTAAAAACAATAAACATTTTTAATTTTTTTCTAAAAACAACACACAGTTTATTTGTTTACTCTGTTGACTGGCATTAAGGATGTTCAAAGGCAATAAAATCATTGAACCAACAACAGTTCACTGATTGGTATGCGGAGAAGGTGTCAACAAGCTTGACATGAGTGGGTAGAACTCTTGACCCCATCAGTGATAACTCACCTATTGTGTAATTCCTGTTCTTTAAATGACATTGTTATGTACTTGTTACAACTGCTGCTCAATAAACCGTGTTTGTGTTTATATTCAAGTTGGTATTGCTTCTATCCAAAGTGTGCAGTGAGACAGTCTTATTGTTGATGGTCATTTGGAAATATAAATGCGAAGGAAATTAATGCGAGCTAAGACCACTCACATTTTTCGCATTTAATTCGCGCTCGCGTTAATTTCAACATTTACAGTGGTCAGATGCACTGCTTGTGCTTACTGCTTATTTTGATATCAATGTTTTGCACTCCAAACTATCGAACTGGGGCCAGTTTCACAAACTTTCACATAGACTCCCAATGGTTGTAGCGCTAAGGAACATGACAACTTGACAGCAACTATTATGACCTTTCGTTCAGTGCAGAAAGTGGGACATTTTAACAATATTTTCAGAGAACCAATAATAAAGTTAGGAACATCAGTTCTGTGAGCATCATGTGGCCAAAGAGTGAAATGCGTGAGTGAGTTGGATTTAACACCGCTTTTAACAGTATTCCAGTTATATCGTGGCGTGTCAGCTTAATGTGGGAGGAAAGCCCGAAGTGATGCAGGTCTCAGACGTTTACCACTTCGGGAAACCCACGAGCACAGGTATGGTGCTGACAAACCTAGAAACGTAATAAGTGAGTAATATTTTTGAGTGTCAAATCTGTGAGATGATGCTCAATATTTTTGCATAAATACATAAATAAATACACATATGGCTGGAATATTGCTGAGTGTGGCGTTAAACAACACACAAACAAACAAAGTTGTTGCTTTAAAATAATTATCAAGCATCCTGCTCTTTATTCAGAATTACCATTTATTCTTTCCCATAATAGGAGAGACAATCCCAAACAACAATGTGCCAAATACAAGTGAGATGTGTCCTAAGATTCGACTGTACCACCTGAAATGTTGTGTTTTGCTGATTCATCACTTTATGAAACCATACTTTGTTGTTCAACGCCGCACCCAGTAATATACCAGCTATATGACAGCTGCCTGTAAATAATCAATTGGGATACGATGACATGCATCAACCAAGTCACTGAGCCTGACCACCAGATCACGTTAGTTGCTTCTTACGACAAGCATAGTCGCCTTTTACGGCAAGAATGGGTTACTGGAGATCTTTTCTACCCAGATCTTGACGGGTATCAAACAGTAGCATTAACAATACATGGTCAGCTAAACTGAAACACTTGGCCTTGTATGTTCTGATCAAACTGTCTCATCTGTTTGTGTGAACGGCGGTTCATTGATGGTACAGGAAGCCATGTATAGGATAGTGACGCTAGACATGCAGATTCAGCACAGATGTACTAGGGCTTCCTTCCATGGACAAGTGCCTGTGTGACTGTCAGTCTAGACATGTTCTCCAATCCTTGACAGCAGCCACATGCAATCTCATGTGCACTCACCCACCCACTCACTCAAGCATGTGAAAATGTATCCTACTCAAAACAAGTTAAAGAACACCCACAATTAGAAGGTTGTGTGCTGCAATACCCACCAGCTATGACAGATAAGCTGTAGCCATAAGAAAAAGCTGGGTGTTCTTTAACTAGTAACTTAGTAGTTCTTTGAGTAGTATATCACACTCACTCACTCACTCACTCACTCACTCACTCACTCACTCACTCACTCACTCACTCACTCACTCACTCACTCACTCACTCACTCACTCACTCACTCACTCACTCACTCACTCACTCACTCACTCACTCACTCACTCACTCACTCACTCACTCACTCACTCACTCACCCAGAGATCTTTAATGGCTGAACATCTTGATGGCTGAACATCTTGATGGCTGTGTTCCTTCCATGGTAATGAGTGTATTGCTGCTTGTGTATGTGATTGCATGTGATCAGTGTCTCGGGTTTCTGCAGGTGATGAATATTTACACATGATTTGTCAAGATGTGAATTGTTATTTACATGGAGGCATGTCCTGTTCATTGCTACTGTGTCATCTGTAGCCGATGCTAGATGCAGATTTACGACGAAATCCAAGTACAGTTGTCTTCAGTTTCTGTTTTTGTTAAAGTTGCCTTGTAGACCTCATCTGACCGAGGCAAATAGTAAAACCTTCATGTCATGTCCGGCAATAAAAGGGAGGGGTCGACAGGGGGAGGAGTTCTTTGTATGAATATCCGATTTTAAAGTCAAATGTAAGCGCCTGATGGGACATTATGATAGAAGGAATGAAAGGGCGCTCTCTTCCTGCATGTCTTCACAGTGATTAATGCCACAACATTTTATACAGCTTCTCAAATGATTATCAGAAGTCCGCAGTTATCGAAGTTAAGGAGTGTCCTGGGTGAACCCAAACTATCCAACAGAACCAGCTTGTAGAATGTCTGCTGAACAGATAGATTATCAGCTATCTTCATCTTGGGTCAAGTCACTCATCATTAGGGGTGATAGGGTTGTTAAGTCATTCGCTCATCACCCCGAATGCCCTGTTCGATTCCCCACATAAATATGTGAAGGCCATTCTTGGTAGTCACCTTTTACGACAAGCATGGGTTGCTGAAGACCTATTCTACCCCGAATCTTCGTGGGTCGTGTGTGTATTGTGACAACTGGGATGTTCATGAAATCTCTTCCTGTCAAAAGCTAAGCCCCATATGGTCCAATTTGGAAGCTTGTCTTCTTCTGAAAGGGCATATAGCCATACATATTTCAAAGAAAATGTTCTAATAATAATAATAATAATTTTAATAATAATAATTTTTCCTTTTGACACTATCAGGTTTAGATCTCCAGATGAAGTGATTACATTTTTGATTGAAAATTTTCTAATGCACCTTTAGGTCGGCTTGGTTCACTGCAAAAAAGATGATTAAACGAGGGGTGTTCAATAAGTTTTGCAACTTCAATACAAGACCAAGTCGCAGAATATCTTTTGCACTTCAATATAATCTCCATTCACCTCAAAACACTTATTCCATTTGTCCTTCAAGCTTTTAAAACCACTTTAATAGAAATCGCCGTACGTGGAAGACGCTTCCAGGATGACGAGGACATAAAGGCTGCCACAGAGGCGTGGTTAGAGGGCCAATCTGCAGATTTCTATAAAAGTGGTATAAAAAGCTTGAAGGACAAATGGAATAAGTGTATTGAGGTGAATAGAGATTATATTGAAAAATACAAGTGCAAAAGATATCCTGCGACTTGGTCTTATATTGAAGTTGCAAAACTTATTGAACGCCCCTCGTACCTGGATAAGAACAATTATGTTAGTACAACATTTCTACCTGTAGGTGTCAGGGTTCTCTTGGCCAACATTTTCATTTCCTTTTCTGTCTTATAACTACAACTGAGTTTGTGACCTGTCAAAATTCCAGTGACTATGCTTGTTGTAAGAGGCGACTAACGGG